CACTCGTTACTGGTCTCCACGTGGACATTGGTAAACTCTTACAGCTTCATGGAAGTTAGAAGCTACACATTCTGATATTTTCTTGGTGTTGACCTCCTTTACACTTCACATTGTTGGGCAAGTCATTAATACTGTAAGCACTAGTTGAAAATACATCTCATTTACAGAATTGTTTTTTCTTTCTTAAACTTCATAAAGAGCATCAGGTAATCTGAAAAATATTTTAATCTTAAATTTGTCTAAATACTCATTTTATCTCCTTCCCCCATTTCACTTTTTTCGTTCTTCCTCAATGTTGTCTTTGTGCTATTGTTTTTCAAATGGTGCTAGAGAAATATACTATTTGTAGTAGCAGTCAATACTATAAAAAACAAATAAAGGTACACTTTTAGTATTGCTTTAGCTGCTCTTAAGAGCTGAAAGTGTTGAATGTCTGCAGTTAGCTGAACTGCTTAAAGATGTCACAAATTTTATTTCCTTTAAATTAGCATTATAAAATAGGTAGACTGGCTGCCTATAAGGCTTAAGTTTTCATTTAGAAGTAACATTTCTGTAAAATGTAGAAGTATGTTTGGTTTTTTTGGTAGTAAAATCCTCAATCTCTGCATAAGAACCAATACAGCTGTGTAAATAGCTTGTTTAAAAAAGAATTAGAAAAATATCTATGCTTAATGTCGTTGTGTGTACTAGCTATCCTTTGCCAGGTGTCATCTTTTTCCTTGGGTTAGGTTGAATTTAACAGCTTTATCTTAAATAGATGCCCGATCATATGATGGTAACAACTTAAGATGTATAAAACTTAATGGAGAGAACATATATATGTGCTTGCAGATATACAGAATCTTATTTTCCTAAATTGCTTTGTTTGTTTTCATCTAGGTATGGTTTCACAAACATGCGCTATATTGCCTCCCTGATTAGTGGAGTGGGCATTTTCATGATGGGTGCAGGACTTTCTTGGTATCACGGGATCATAGGTTTACTCCACCCTCACCCTATAGAATCTCTTCTCTGGGTAAGCTAATCTTGTTTGATATTGCATCTAATGCTGGTGACTTAATAGAAAGTAATGGCACAGTCTGAAATTCACTTCCCGAGTCTGTTTGAATCCCAACACAATTAACTCAAACCATTCTTAATGGGAATGTGTTTTAAGAAAAAAATCCTGTTAAGCTGTAGCTGATCTTACAGCAAAATTAGCTATTCTTTAAACCTTGTGTCTTCCCTTCACACATCCCAAGAGGTCCTCCTTTCCTATTTTGCGATATATTGCATAATTCAAATATTGGCTGCCTTGTGTTTAGGGGCAACTACACAGCACAGTGGGTAATGGGGTTCTGAAATGCTGTGTTTGGATAATTAGTGGTGAAGAGATCTGTACAAATATGCGTATAACATAATAATTGAGACTTTTTTTTCCATACAGGCATACTGCATTTTAGCAGGGTCATTGGTATCTGAAGGAGGTATGCGATTTCAAGGATTATTTCTATTTAAGTATTCATAATCTCTAAGAGTATAATGTAATTGCAGTAATAATTGGTTCTTGCTTTCATAGTAAAGTTTTGAGCTCTGCTGCAAATACTTGTGTTGTAAACAAACAAAAAAAAAGTGGGAAAACTTTATTATCTCTCTATGTAATAAGTTGAATAACATAATTTGAAAAGTATACGTGGAATGTCTTTGAGGTATTAAACTGTCAGTGAATGTAACAGTTCCAATTTTTACGGGAGATGTGCATGTAGAGAAGAAGGTAATTCTATGTTTTTTAGTGATTCAAAGTATCACTCATCGGAGCTTTTTTGATGGTCTCTTGCTATTTATAAAGAAAAGTTCACTCTTTTCAAAATGGAAGCAAGTCTTTGCCTCTAACCATTTTAAGCAACTACTTCGGTGTTGTTTCAGCTACCCTTCTTGTTGCTATAAATGAAATTCGCAGGAGTGCTCGAGCCAAGGGTCTGTCATTTTATCAATATGGTATGTGTCGTTATAGCAGTAAGGTATGCCGTTATTTAAAACAGAATCTATTTACCACTATTTGGATAATGATAGAAACAGTTTTCACTGTATTCCTTTTCCCTTTCCCCCTGCTTTATTGATCTCTTTTCTATTCTAGTAACAAATACATTTTACAAATTGGGTGAAAACCTGTTGATTAAAATAACACTACTTAAATACTTTTACTAAACTACTTGCATTTTTCAGGATAAATACCCCTTTAAGTTTTTCAGACATTATGGAGAAGCTTCGATAATTGGCATAGGGCTTTTTCTCTGCATTTATGAATGCTTTCAGAAGTGCGTGCCTATGCGAAAGTTCGGTTTACACCTACATGCTTAAGGAAATTCTTCTTTTAAGTTGCTGATGTTAGCATAGTTTAAGTACTGTGCATAATGTAGTAAAGCTAAGCATTTCAAAGCAATGTATTTTTTTTGTTGTTGTTGTTGTTGTATACACAGTTGTACAGAGTCATGATCCTAGTACAAATGTGGTGTTACTGGAGGATGCTGCAGCAGTTCTGAGTGTGGCCATAGCTGCTACCTGTATGGGTCTGACTTCTTTAACAGGTAAAATTCTGCCTCAAGCTGAGGCAATCAGGACGTGAATTTACCCCTGTGCATGATATGAACACAGAGCATTTAGTTTATATTGGTTGACTTAAATACATGTCTACTTTTTTTCTGATGCTCGTACTGTGTAAGCTTCTGGAGGTTTATACCTCCTCTGATCAGATTTCTAGTAGTTTGAGTTGGAAAATATTTAAGATGAAATAAAAGCTCGTTGTTTTTTGTTTTTTGGTTTTTTTTTTTTGTGTATGTCTATGTTGAAGAGGTTAAGCTTGAAAGAGTACATGTAGATGGGTCTAACTTCCTTTTGAGCTACTTTGTATTACAAATGAAGGTATTTTTTTACTAAAGGTATATTTATTGTAATCAGTTATGTAAATCACTGTGATGTGATGGGATTACATATCTGAGCTTCCTCATTCAGTGATGTGCATGTGTATGTGAGGAGGATTTAAGGAAGTAGTTCCTTCCTCCCTTTTGTTATGTAGTGGTATTGGTGTTATCTTCAGATTACAATAGCTGTTCCTAAACAGTGTAGCAAAAGCAACTCATGGAGGTGGGATGATCTGTATGGCAACTGATTCAAAGTATGGCTTTGCTGCACAGTTAAGCTTTATAAAGAGGGAAGTTTGTTTATTTGTCCCTTTTTAAGTACTGTCTTTTCAATTTTTTAAAAAATAAATATGGTCATTTTCTTTCTTTGTGGCTTCTAATGAATTGATTGCAAGTTTCATTTTTTTTTTTATATAGAACTCAGGGGTTTTTTATTCCATTTCTAGTCTCTTTCATAAACTTAAAAAAAAACCATTATACATTACTGTTTCTATAAGTATGAATATGAATACATGTTTAAAACTTATATAATAAGTACAGTATTCCAGAAATGGTTAACACTTTTAAGTTTTCGAGTTACTGGTAAAAGAATACAAACTTTTATGCTACTACCTGTGTTAAGGCGTATATAATTTTATATTAATATGAGGTAAAGCTATACACAGAAGCCCAAATAGTTTACAAGAATTTACTCTGTTTATTAGCCCTTCAGGAGTGGCTAAGGAACAGGAGGGAGTTGAGACTTTATCTTAAGATAAGTTTTTTTTTTCCCCAGCTTCATTTTGTTCCTCAGGAAGATAGAATTGCCAGTACACTAAAACTAACAAGGAAACAAAAAACACACTGCAAAATCTAAAACAAATCCCACCAAAAAGCAAAACCAACCAACCAAAAAAAAAAAAATCTCAAACTGTGTACTCTCTTTAATGTGAAATCTGAATTATCTGCTATGTTTTAGAAATGCTCTGTGAAATTAATTTGACATTGTGTTGTTTAGGAAACCCTTATTATGACAGTGTGGGGTCTCTAGGTGTTGGAACCTTGTTAGGAAGTGTGTCAGCATTTCTCATCTACACTAACACTGAAGCCCTGCTAGGACGATCCATTCAACCTGAACAACTGCAGCGGCTCACTGAGTTACTGGAAAGTGATGCTGTAGTAAGGTAAGAGTCTTTACAGCTGCATCAATACTAAGAACAACAAAAAGCAAGAAAATGACATTTGGAAAAAGTAGTTCAAGCACTTGAGATCGATTATTTTTAGGGTGGATTCTTCTGTATTGAGATTTTAGAATTTTAATTAATACTAACTTCTATTTCTGTGCTAAAAATTTCACGAAGTAAATACTCATACCCCTCAGATGTTCCACAGCTGAAATAAAATTGCAAATGATGTCCTAACAGTTACATAAAATTACAGGAGCTGACAGTGACTTAATGAGAAAACCATCACAAACTTGAAACTATTTTCAAATGATGAAATGCAAGCACATAAATGATACCGTACTATTGCTTTTATAGTTTATGAGCGCTTAAATATTCAAATTCTGTTACTGTTAATATTTAGTGTCTGGAATTCTGTAGCAGTTGGCAGTGCTGCAGTAGAATTACACTACGATAGATTCTGCATGTTAGATGCTTACAGAATGAACTCAATGTTAATTTCTCTTCTTTGGAAATCCAGAGTTTGTAGTGCAATAAACTTATAATTCATTGTAATTCTGAAATCTCGTTTAAATGGTTTTTAAGGAGCTATTTTAGCTTAAATCCTATTGACCCTGATTTAGAAGCAAACCCCTTTTTGTTTTCTTCTTAGTCATTATTCAGGCATATATTTCTGTATAAATCAGCTGGAATATTTTAGTGCTTTTTTATTTATTTTTTTTTTTTTATTTTATTTGTAGTCTTTACTAAGCTCTGGAGACAAAAATCCCGAGCCCATTAGTTAACATGAGAATACTTGAAAGGGACTTAAGTGCTGCATCATCTCAGTTGCAAGCAACTGGTCTGAATGACATGTCTTTCGTTCCAGAAGCTAAACAAGATTCTTATTTTGGAGTAGAATTGTGTTAGAATTTTCACATGTCAGTAACTAAACTCTGTGGTGGCCCTGGATTAGTCTGAATGGTGGAGCATGTGTCAACAGTGCTGTGTTAGAGTAGGTGAGTTAACATGGTTTTTTTGTACACAACTTCTGTAGTTCTTTTTTCCAAAGTGCACAGGTGGCTTTTGCTTGTCTCCAGCTGGAATCATAAAATTGCTTCTATCCAAGCACCAGTTTATATTATATTCCATTTTGTAGATGGCTGTAACTTCTCAAGAGAGAAATCTTAGTTTATCTCCTCCTTGCTGTAAACTTTTTTTTTTTTTTTTTTTTTTTTTATCCTAAACAAGAAGTAACAATTTTTAAAAGGAACAAAGAATAAAAGTGAAGACTTGGTAAGAAACTGTTTCTCAAGGTTAGAAGCTGAAACATGTTTAAGTACTTCTTACAGTGCTGTTTGCAGGACCTTCTGTATGCACTTTGTCTTGAGTGATCTTTTTCTTAGTTCCATTACATTATCTGCTTTGATTTCTTTTAGCACACATTTTGTCTTTGACCAAGTTCTTCTTGTAACAAGTCTAATATTTTGACCTTGGTTAACTTACATCTTCTAATAAGACACCCAGTCTTGATACCAGGATTCTCAGAGATGTTAAAGTGTATTACCCATGCTTGTAACATGACATAATATGGGGAAAAGTCTAACCTTCCCCTCCCCTGCTTTGGTTAGATAGCTTTTTTGGTTTGTTTTCAGTTTTTTCCTGTGAAATTAAGAAGTCTTTTAGCATCAAATATGTCTTCAAACAGCTACTCATACATTTTCATCGACACAGCTTTGGGCTTGTGAGAGTTTCAGCATTTTCTTGAGTATTTAAGCTTTACTTAAATGAAGTTGTGTATGTCCTACCTTTACAGTTTTCCTACTGACACCAAATGTAAAAGAAGAAATTCATGAGCACTGGCCTGCTTCTAAAGCCGTGACTAGTATTTGCTCTTTTTATTTCAGTGTTTCAGAGTTTTCAGCTATCAAACTATATATGAGTTCTCAATGCAATCCTTTTTTACTGTTGCTGCTTCCCAAAACAGGTCTTCCTTGTTCATTCATTGAGGGTTTGCAGTCTTGATTTTCAGGTGTGTTTTCCAGACACGAAGGGGATATATTAGGGAATCATTCATTATTCATCAGAAGGTATTTAGTTCCAAATTGACTAAAGGATCCAGAGGCTCTGATTTCTGCCCCCTCTTGTGTCTCCATCAGCACCACTTAACTTGTCCAGGCAAGCTACTGCTGGAATACTATCATGTTCCGCTGCTAATTACAAAGTATTTAATAGGCAATATTAACTGCTGTACTACTGAAAAAATAATCTGATGTTGATTCCCTCCACCCAGCTAAGTCTTGCTTTTCGGATTTCTCTTCTCCATTTTTTTTTTCCCCTTTTTTATTGAGTTGTTTGAAAATACCTGCATTCCCTAAAACCTTTGTGACTGGAATTAATGCTCATAATGTATAGTTTTTCCCCCACCCTTCTCACTATTTTTCCTTGGGTTATCAGATGAAGTTGTCTTTAGTTACATGGGTTGCCTCATTTGAGGTTCTTAAATTTTGGCACAGTGTTTTTAATCTACTTTTAAAAAAAACCAACCCCAATCTCATCATTATTGCAGGATGAAAAATTAATTTGCCTTCACAGTTACTCTTGGTTCTTTTTACTCTTGAATGCGAGTTTCTGAGCCTGCTGAATTATTAGCAATTTTTTTTCCATTTAAATATGCAGTATGCTTCTGTGCCACTAATGGGGAAATGCTTTGTTGTAGTAATATATGTTTTTCCTTTTTGGTCAAGAAACAATGATTCTGCCTGTTCTGTATCATCAGTAATAACTTTACCATTTCCGTCTAGTAGAAGGTTTGTTTTCTGGTTTTGCTATACTTACAAACTAACTTTTTTTCTTTTTAAATTATGCACAATGCTTTTTTTTATGCTTCTCCTATAATTTTGCTGGATTTCATAATTTCTTCTTTAGGCTCATGGCTATTTCTTTCCTTTTTCATTTTGCTACTACTTTCAGGCCTTATTTCATTTGTTACCCAGAATGGGCTTTTAGTTAGAGTTGTTCTCAGCTGGAAAATTACTTGATTTTGGTTTTTATTATACAAACATTCCGTTCTTCACTCTCATTGAAATCTTTGTTACCTAAATATTTCCTGTGTTCAGCTCAACTGAAGTGTAGGAGATGAGGTTTTCAGAACTGTGAAATAAAACACATGATGTGGTACAGACTGTCCTGATTCTGTTCTTATGCAATATAATGGCAGATATCTAGACGTAAATGATTCTTAGTGACAGTTTCATCTTTAATTTTTACTTCATTGTAACAACTATTGGGTAATTGTGCTACTGTTGTGCTGGAAAACCTGTCATTCTGGTTTGGAGGAGGTAAAAAAAAATAATTACAACTGATGGCTCAAACCCAGTAACTTGATGTCCTCTGACAAATTTTTCTTTCATGTGAAACTTCGTCTTTTCCCTAGTTTGTGCCTACTGGCCATCCAGAAGCTTCCATAAGCAAGCTTTGTAGCGCACACATTTGTATTTTTTAATTATTAGTGATTTTTTTTTTTCTCCTCCTGACTCACTGTCTTATCTTTCCTGGACAGGTTATAAGCAGTAAGGTAGACTTTTTACTTCACATCTACAGAATATGCATCATTCCACTGAATTTTATCAGGTTGCTGCTTAATGAGAATCTCAAATATCTCTTGTTATCTTCTTGCTTAGCTCTGATAGGCACTTGATATATCTTCAGCATTTTTGAATCACATGGATTCACATTCTCTTCATATAACCCTAATTGAAGCACATTTGTTATCTTAAATACCCTCTTGTGTGAGGAGGTCGTTTGATGCCAGTTAGGTTATTCCAGTTAATACTGTTTTGATATGGTAGCTTCCCACAGGAATAGCTGTGTAAATTTGATTGGAGATGGAAATTCTTTATTGCTGCCAGTAAACTATAGCAGTTCTTTTAATCTGCTTAAATATTTGCTAAGATGTATTTTTTTGTGTGTTTCTCTATATTTAGGTTATGTTCTATTTTTTTTTGATGTGCTTACCCCTCCTTCACCTGGAGTATTGCCAGAAATATTCCATAAACATTTCCTCTGACTGTTCATCTTAAATTTCTGCATCCTGTTCTTTGTCAGCTGTTCATTCTATCAGGCTACTTCTAAAATCTATGCCTTCTGCTTTCTTTCTGCACTGCCTGTCTACTTAGTTCTGATTTATAAACATTCAGATGAGTCAGGAAGAGTAAATTTGCTTAAGACAAAGGGCATACTAAATTTAAAGATGCTGTGAAATTGCACAACTTAGTAAAATGAATTGGGGAGGAGGGGAAGTGTAGTACTTTCCATTAAGTGAGCTTTATTGGTGAATCTAAATTTTTTGTTAGAATTTTAAAAATTGCAGTGATTGCATTTTTCTGCTCATAAACCCCAAAGTCTTTGGAATATTTTGTAGTTGACCCCAGATACTTGTTTAGCATTGGAAATGGCAGAAGGAAGAATAAAAAAAAAAAAAAAAGGAAACTTCTTTGTGATTTATATCCTATATTTTAGTATCTGCTTTTTTTCTGGCCTTGATGGAAAAAGGTAGAAACTTATTCTGCAGTGGCAATTTTAAATTCTACTTGGCTTTAAAGATAAATTTAAGTTTATATTAATCTAATTAGGGAAAAAAAAAGATGGCATTTTATGATTTTATTTTATATTTATTCCACTGTTGAAATTCACCATAATAATCTGGGTCCTGAGTTTGCTTCATGTCTTACTATTGCTGAAAAAATTGTGTGCTTTGTTTATTATCTACATTCATACCTCATAGAGTTTACCTAACAAATTGGAACAAAACTATGCTATAGAAAACCAGAAGTTTTCAAAGGACCAAAATATAAACACGCTGAAACATTCATGTTCTAATATCTATTAGGAACCTTTAAATAAATATATTTTCAGCCTTTACTAACAGCTGCCTTGTAATTAGTTGCGACCAATAGTTCAGTACGATCAAAAGTGAGTTCCAAACACAATATCCATAACTTAAATAAAATTTAACTTTGCATAGAAAATTCTCCAAAAGGTTATGCCTTCACAAATTGTAGCTATCTAGGAAAAAACACTTCCATAATTGCAAAGTGTGCTTTCAGTATCTTACGGTATTGTCCCTTACCTCAAAATTGAGGGTGCTTGAGGACCGTTATATATGTATATGCACAAAAGCTACTGTGCAGTAACGAGTAAGTTGAACTTTAAGTTTACCTCAGAATAAGGAAGTTATCACTTTCTATTGTGGGATTTTTTTATAACACCATTAGTCTAGTTCTAAATCTGTGGTGCTTTTTTGTAGTATGTCTTTTATTGAAGCAAGCCATTTATACATGTGTTGGTATAGCAGACACCTATGGAAGTTGTATAACTAGTTAAATATAAATCAGTACTTAATATAAATGTGTGGTGGCAAAATGAGGATATGTTAGTCAAAGGCAGTGGCCTTTTAAAATTACAGAATTGTACTGTGACAATGTTGTTAACATCAGAAGTCAAACTAGCTAGTTGTTTGTTTTATGTTGTTCTAAATTTTCTTTAAAAATTATGTGTTTCAGAGCAATTCATGATGTTAAAGCCACAGACCTGGGAATGAACAAAGTGAGATTCAAGGCAGAAGTAGACTTTGATGGACGGGTTGTTACTCGTTCTTACCTGGAAAAACAAGACATTGAACAGCTGCTACAAGTATGTTTTAAAAAAATCTTTTTGTAACCTTCAGTATTTGATATTTATTTTCTAATTTCAAATATGTCTAAACCCAAGATTTTCAAGTAGGTGAGAGAGATTCCACTACTTCTTTTTGAAGGATTACTGTGTGTTAAATATCTCTACATGGAATCGTATTATGTGCTGCTGAAATAGAGCCACTTGTGGGCTGAGTAGGGCCTGGGTTGGAAGAGGACAGATATTTTTGTCCAAAATAATTTTAAGAATGTATTTATTCCATTGAATTTTTATTGAATTACAAGATCTCTAGTTAAAACTGGCAGCCTGTCACCTGAGAATAAGCATCTGTTTTGGCAGAGCCATTTGCCTTGGGTGCTGAAGATGCAGTGTTAAGGTTTATAGATCCTGCCACTCAGACTAGACTTGAATATGGATTGCTTGCATCACATCACTTAGCATTTTGACAGTCTTTAGCAATTAGCACTGTCTTCGTTGTCTGTCTCTGCTTTTAGTGTCGTTCAGAGTAGCTTTTCTTAATCCTTCTCTTCCATATAAGAAATTCAGAACTGTTCTCAGCTGGATTCTGCATGGCAAAGCTATGAAGTATGAAGTAAAGAATAATTTATCTAAATAACAAGAAGAGTTTTAAGTGAGCAAAATGTTTTGCTTATTTACCCATTTTCACCAGTAACATGCTAATATGCATTTGCTTGCATACCTCCAAGATATCTTTCTTTGCTACCCTTTCAGGAAGAAAAGCAGATGTCAGATGTCTGCATTTTATGTCTGTCCATTAGATACTTCTTAGAAGTCATCTGAGTTTAAATTACTGCAGTTTTTTTAAACCATTAGTCAGTGTCTGAGTTATTAAAATGTACTGCCTTTTAATGTCAAAATAAGAATATATATATTATATGTATAGTGCAATAAGTGATCTGTTCATGTGTTGGATTTCAATTTTAATGCATTTTGAGAGGAAGAGTGCTATCAGCTTTGCACAGCTGAGGCAGTGCAGGTTTGCTTGGTTTTGCATTGCCAAATCTCAGTTGCTTTGCTGTTGCAGCTGGTTACTACACTACTTTAAAAAGGCTTTGTTAGCTCTTGTTTTTCACCTGCTGTTCCCTTTGGCGGTTGCATACAACTGTGACTGGTTCTTCCATCTAGTATTGTTGGGAAAGTTCTTCCTGATTGTTTCTGGGTTGACAACTGTTTTTTGCACAGGTCATTGTAGTTTCATGTAGTAACCTTGTGTCAGCTATAAAACCACTGTTGAAGGATAACTAATTTCAGCAGGATTTTGCCCCCTACCTGAAGGGTGGACATAGTGTTTGCCTTTTGATCTATAGTTTTTCAAATAACTAGCTCATTCAACTAGCATTGCTATCAACATTACTCTTTCTGAAGTTGTGAAATTGTTGAAATGCTAGCATTCAGATTACTCTCATTTCTTTTTCGTGTTAGACTTGCTGTGATTGTAGTCACAGGGTATTAGGGTTGGGGTATCTTTTAAGCTCACTCAATTACATTATTTCTCGGTTTTAGAGTAATCGGGAAGCTGGAAGAGGAAGAAACTGATGTATTGTAGTTATAGACACAAAAAGAATTAGCTATTTAATAATCACTTTGTCTATTAGCAATAACCTATTTGTCCTAAACATACTGCAGCCGTATTGCCTAAACTGTGGCTGAGATTTCACAGGTCAAATGACTTCTGGCCAACTTGGTGTGAGAACTTTAAGGAAAGCTCAGGCCAGTGCTGTAATACCTGCTTTGGTGCTTATGATGTCTGTGTTTTTTTGGAGGGAGGACCATAGCATCCTGTCTTCCTTTACCTTGTTCTTTCAGTCTCATATGCTATGGGTCTCCTAATCTGAGTTCCTATGACTATCTTAGAGTTTTTCAGTATTATGGACGAGCTATATTTACAGCAGCATTTATAGTAATTTGTATGGATTTTCAGATGAGTTGGTAATGTGATGCCCAGAGTAAGTAGTGTAATAAAATAACAAGATTGAATGAAAAGGAGGAAAGAGTACACAGGGGTACTCTGCTCTGCCTTGCTGTGAGCAAGGGATACCTCAAGCTTCTAGAAAATTAATGAAATTCTCAAACTTTTTTGGAAAATAAAGGAGGAAATCTGTTAAACATAGAAGGTTTTGTATCAAGTACAGGTGTAATGGTAAGCCAGCTGTTTTCATTGAATAAATACTAGTCTTCTGTCTTCGAGACATAAGAACAGATGATACTTTAAAAGGAAATGGCAAAAGCTGAAGTCTGTGGAGTTCTTTTTGTATGTGTCAACTTCCTCCCTTCATAATGTCAGACCCCTCTGCAGTATTATTCGTTTCTTTATTTTCCCCTCATAGAATCATAGGATACTTAGGGTTGGAAAGGACCTTAAGATCATCTAGTTCCAACCCCCCTGCCATGAGCAGGGACACCACACTCTAAACTGTGTCGCCCAAGGCTGTGTCCAGTCTGGCCTTGAACACCGCCAGGGTTGGAGCATTTTGATACAGCCCAGGATACGGTTGGCTTTCTGGGCTGCAAGCGCACACTGCCTGCTCATGTCGAGTTTCTCATCAATCACCACCCCCAAGTCCTTCTCTGCAGGGCTGCTTTGAATCTCTTCTCCACCCAGCCTGTAGCTGTGCCTGGGGTTGTGCTGACCTAGGTGCAGGACCTTGCACTTGTCTTGGTTAAACTTCATGAGGTTGGCATCGGCCCACCTCACAAGAGTGTCCAGGTCCCTCTGGATGGCATCCCTTCCCTCCAGTGTAGAAACGGAGCCACACAGCTTGGTGTCGTCGGCAAACTTGCTGAGGGCACACTCAATTCCACTGTCCATGTCACCAACAAAAATGTTGAACAACACAGGTCCCAACACTGATCCCTGAGGGACACCACTCGTTACTGGTCTCCAAGTGGACATTGAACCGTTGACCACAACTCTTTGCGTGCGGCAATCCAGCCAGTTCTTTATCCACTTGAGTGGTCCATCTGTCAAATTAATGTCTCTCCAATTTAGAGACAA